AATAAGCTGATTTTAGGGGATGTCGAAGAGGCAGAGACACATACTAGCAGGATGCCATAGTCACGACTTAATGTTTTATGTCTTTGCATGAAAAATTATAGACCTATTTTTTTAGATTATAGTGAAATCTATACAGATTACAGATTTACATAATGGGCAGCATGAGAGAAGTTTACTTCTGAAATGTCATAGGTTAGAAATAACAGTTAATCTTTTAAATATGTATAAAAAGAAGCTATTTGAATTGCTTGATCATTTTTAATTTACGTTTTTTTCGCTACCAATATTTTAAAGTGGACATTAAAAAGAAACTTTCTCAATAGGCTGTATATGTTTCACCAGGTTTGACCAAGTCTGAGTTCTTCCATTGGCAAACTAGACTGAGGCATCGCTCCTGGGTATAATTTCACAGCGAATATATGATACAGGAAATTTATAATACAGTTTCACTATATTCAGCCTTTAAGAGGTCCCCTAAAGTTGTGTAAACCTGACTGGTTAAAGCAATATGTCAGTGTGTGAGACCTGTTAGGAATGTGCTCCAGCCAATGTTTGGGCAGTACGGTTACTGCTGGACTTCTGATAGATCCGGCCACACCTCCTCTGTTCAGGTCTCCTCTAGATACTGATTTCGTGATGGTGCGGATGCAATTCCCTCGATGAACAGGGGATTCAAAGTTTGTGGTGCTGCTATTCTGACAGGGAGATGGGGTGTGGTTAGAGGACTCTTGGCTGGCGATGTTGCTTTCCTCGTGATCTGACTTTTTGTCTGCAGCAGCCTCTGGAATCTGTAGTCTCGCTGTAGAAGAGCGATACAGTGGTGTGAAACAGTGTCTGCCCCTTCCTGATTTCCCCTTTTTTTGTATGTTTGTCACACTAAAATGTTTCAAATCATCACACAAATTTAAAAATTAGACAAAGATAACACAAGTAAACACAAAATGCAGTTTCTAAATGAAGGTATTTATTATTAAGGGTAAAAAAAATCCATACCTGTATTAACCCATTATTAAGTTAAGCCCTTAACCTAATAATGGGTTGGGCCAGCAGTCAGCTGGGCCTTTATTGCTGCCTCAGGACTTGTAATACTTGCTGTGATAAATGGAACCATGATTTCTGCTGTCTACCAAAACATCCTGAAGGACAATGTCCAACCATCTGATTGTGACCTCAACCTGAACTGCACTCCTGCAGCAGGAAAAGGATCCAAAACAGGTTTTGTAAAGTCCAGCAGCAAGTCCACCTCTGAATGGCGTAGAACAGCGATGTCCAACTCCAGACCTCAAGGGCCGGTGTCCTGCAGGTTTTAGATGTGTCCTTGATCCAACGCAGCTGATTTGAATGACTAAATTACCTCCTCAAAATGTCTTCGGCTGTGTCCCAATTCAGAGTCTGCAGCCTTAAAGGCCGCATTTTAAGGCCAATTACGTCACAGCGACGCGACGAAGGCTGTCCCAATTCAAAGGCTGCTCAAAATGCGGCCCTCAAATGCGTCCTTCATTTCCCTGAATTTTAAGGACGTGGCGGTGTAGACTTCATGGCCCAACATATCCCAGAATGCATAGCGCGGCGGTGGGTGTGGATAATTTTGCCGGAAAAAGAGGGGCGGCCGAAGAGTAAACTTTCAAAAGTAATTACTGAATATTATGTTACTTATTTACGTGCAAATGTTTAATAACGAAGAACATTAAAACATTCCTGTTGGCCACATGTCGGCAAAGTCATGTGACATTAGTGACGTTTGTACTAACTTGGTTTTAAAGCCTTTACTTTAAAATATACGCCGTTCAATAGCTGACCTTAATCTTACAGAGAATGTGATGATTTTATGGATATTTAAAGTCAGCACTGAGACAAATTTAGTAATGCCAACATATTAAAAGAACAATATTTGTCTCTCATATATATAACACAGTTATATATACAGTGTCAAAGAAACCTGTCTTTGAGTGAAGATTTAAGGTGACAGGAAATATAAATAAATGCAGCTTGAATCTTTACTGAAGCTCAGTATTTGAAACAGAGTCATTCACTGCTGTAATAACTAATAATGATTGAAATTATAACTTTAATATTGGCCATATTATTACCAAATACCTCATTACCAAAGTGAGTCTCATGAACAACATTAGCCAATTGTTATTTACGAGCTAATCTTAAATGACTGTTCAGTACAGAAGTGAAGCCCAACAATCATGTTTCACAGTCCCGTGGTCTCAGCCTCAGATACTCAACTAATCAAAGCTCATATAGAAACAGATGAACAAATGAACAAAAGATGTTCTCCTTCATTTCTGTCAAACAAAGCTGTATGAAACGTTTCCAGCTGTTAGTATCATGGTTGCTAGGCAACCTGGGCAGTGCGACGGAGGCTAGACCATCCCATTTCACAAGCCTCGCACTTCCGGCCTCAGCGGTCTTTGAGTACGCGGCCCTTGTGGACCGTTAAGGCTGCAGACCCTGAATTGGGATACAGCCTTTAAGTTCTCCAGAGGTAATGAACTAATCCTTAGAATCAGGTGTGTTGACCCAGAGTGAGATCTAAACCTGCAGGACACGGGTCCCTGAGGTCTGGAGTTGGACACCCCTGGCTTAGAAAAAATCAAAATGAAGACTTTGGACAGGCCTAGATAAAGTCCTGACCTGAACATGACTGAGATGCTGTGGCACGACCTTAAAAAGACGGTTCATGCTCGAAAACTCTCCAAAGTGTCTGAATTACAACGATTATGCAAAGATGAGGGGGCCAAACTTCCTCCACAGTGCTGTAAAAGACTCATTGTCAGTTATGGCAAACATGTGATTGCAGTTGTGTTGCTGCTGAGGGTGGCCCAACTCGTTATGAGGTTTAGGGGGTAATCACTTTTTCACACATTGGATTTTTTTCCCTTTAAAAATAAACACCTTTAGAAACTGTATTTTGTGTTTACTTGTGTTTTATTTTTAATATTTTTATTTGTTTTATGATCTGAAACATTTAAGGGTGACCAACATACAAAAAAAGGTCATCAGTAAGGGGGCAAACATAGAAGACGAGAGATACCTGCAGCCAACTGGAAGACTTTCTTCTTGTCTTCAGTGCGCTCCTGAGAAGGTTTGAAAAAAACACTGACTTCAGACGCACACCATTACACCATCATTATGTAATGGCCAGTTTAAGGCTCCACTATATATACGCAGTGACATGACAAAGTATTTGCTCCGTCCCTTCTTTTGCATATGTGTGAGACTTAAATGTTTTAGGTCAAACAAATTGTAATACTGACAACCTGAGTAAATACAAAACACAAATGCGTACAGACAGTATTTATGTTTACAAAATTAAAAATGATAAACATTTCCACTTCCCCTGTGTGTGGTCTTCATCCTTCTGGCTAAGGCCCTCTAACAGACCTGGGAGGTTGACGGTCCTTGACAATATCTTTGTTCCTTCCCAACTGAGGGTACTGCTCCTTGTGGCTGTTTATCTTGTAGTCAAATATCTCACCAATGATATGTTTACTGCCTGAATTGACACCAAAAAAGCCTGAATGCTCCACACATCAGAATCAAAAAGACTTTATTTATCCCCAAGGGGCAATTAAGAAGATACTTAATTATGGATACTAGGGTGCTTGGCACTTTAAAAGGCTAACAGTGTACTTAACGGGACTTTGGAAGACAAAGTCAAAGACAATCACAGAGGTCACCATTAAGTGTGGGCATACCAAGGTGATGCCCACTTCTAGGCCTCAACCCTCTAAAACAGTTTATCAGTAAGATTGGATAGGAATATATATTTAGGTCTGGAGTGACCATTAGCCATCTCCTGTACAAAGAAATTATGATGTACACCAGGAGATCCACTTCAGCATCTACTGTGAGGACATCGTGATTTTATTCGAACTGGATAAGTTTGGTTGAAAACAGAGGAAAGGTGATGCAGACTATTAAGCCAGAAAGGAGAATAGCAGATATGCAGGATAGCTACAAGCGCCTGGGTATCCCACAGGCCAGTGGGAACCATGATAAAGATGCAAAAAGGTCAGGCACAGCCAAATACCTCCAGAAGGTAAGATAGGTGCTGAGAAGGCAGCTAAACAGTAAGAATAGGATCCATGCCATCAGTAGAGATTCCCTACCAGTTATCTGAGTAAAAAGCTAGCTAAAAGAGGAGACGGATGCCGCTAATGTGAAGATACAAACATTCCTCATAATGTCCATCCAATCCACATGAAGTCCAGGACCTTGAGGCTCTATGAGCAGTAAAAAGAGGGAGTGAGGATTAGTGACTATCAAAGTCACCATCCAGGATATAGCATAGAACATAGCAAATAGATCAGGCCCATCAAGACAGACAGTGATGCAGAACAGGACCAGGAACCATTATAGATGACCAAGCCTGTGCATGGGATGTACCTTGTGTGGCGCGATCGTGGCTCAAGAGTTGGGAGTTCGCCTTGTAATCAGAAGGTTGCCGGTTCGAGCCCCGGTTTGGACAATCTTGGTCTGTGTCCTTGGGCAAGACACTTCACCTACCGCCTACTGGTGCTGGCCAGAGGGGCCGATGGCGCGATATGGCAGCCTCGCTTCTGTCAGCCTGCCCCAGGGCAGCTGTGGCTACAACTGTAGCTGCCTCCACCAGTGTGTGAATGGGTGGATGACTGGGTGTGTAAAGCGCTTTGGGGTCCCTAGGGGGGGACTAGTAAAGCGCTATACAAATACAGGTGGAGGTGGAGGAAGTGGCTGACATGAACAAATCCCACAGTTGCTGGAAAAAGCTGGCTTAAAGGACAGCACAGAAGGATGATGGTGGTAGATCCACAGGAAGAATCTACTACAGACAACAGGACCCAAGTTAGGGTCTGCAAAAGGTACTTGAGAGACAATCCAGCAGATCCCACAACATCAGATGTCTATGTCCAGAAGGACCCAGTCCCAGGAAAGATACTATATGTTTAAAATGCTATCTGGAAAATCATTTGCTCTGTTAAATAGCACTTGGGAAATTTTTGACAAAAACTTAATAAAAGCTAATAAGTTTGTCCTCATCTGTAAATGCCTTTCTCTCTTATTTTTATGCAAAAAAAATTGCTGAAAGTGATTCAACTTACAGTCTGGAGCTGCATCCTTAGCTGGTTGTTGGTGAATTTGAGGGATCTGGCGATAGACTGCAGATAGTATATCAGCATGCTGAAACACAGTTGAACAATTCACAAGTCATGTACACATACATATTGTGAGTGTATGTGTATATGTGTGAGTGAGAGAGCGCATGTATACGTGACAGATATATGCAATGTGTCGTGTGAAGCCTCACAACAGCAGCAGCAGTGCTGGCAGTACGACGACAGGACTGGTGATATAACTTATTACTTTACTGAACCACACCGGGAAGTCAGTGGCCACCGTCTCAGAGATGATGTCGTAAATCTTCTCTTGACCACTGAAACACAAATTTAAGCATTTTTCTTTGTCTGAACACTGAAACACAACCACACAAGAAGAGGAAAAACAAAAGAGCTGTTCATGCACCACATTTCAAAAACCAGTAGTTAGGGTATATAGTTTATCACTGCTAACTTCCACATCAATGAAAGCAAAAATAATGCTGAATAAAATATGTACAGCTGCATGACAACATATATTGCCATCCAGTTGACAACTTCAGGGAAGGCTTTGCTTATTTCAGCAAGACAGTCCAGAACATTCTGCATCCATTTCAATAATAAGCAAACTGCAGCAACTCGTTCCAACAAGGAGACGCAACACAGAAGGAAATGAGATGTTTCCTACTGTTTTAATGTGTATCTGGCAACGAAGTTTAATCAACATTTCATATGAATTGAATGATATTTTTCAATTTCAGTTATTTAATATGTTCTTTCTGAAGTATTTAAATATAGTCTTTAAATGGTATGAAAATTACTACATTTTGATTTTATTTAAATACCCTACCAGCTTTTTTGGAAACAGGATTTGACTTTGTAAACTATGCAAAGAAAGATCTTTTCCAAACTATGATGCTACGCTCATAAATTAAAATATGTTCCGTTTCAAAACACATATAAATACGTATTGTGCAAGCTGAGGATGGAAGACACCAAAACTGGGAATTCTCCAAAATATGCATATATCCCTCATTAGTCTTACATTCTCAGCACAGTAAATAAAAAAGGGAATCTGTTCATTAAAAACAAGAAACTTGCTTCCCTGAGCAGTATTTACTTTAGGGAAATAGTATTGTATTTTGCCTGCATTATCACTTTGACCTTTAGGTCAATTTATTGACCTTTGGGAGAGGTCAGAGGTGAAACGTGACACGATATTCAAAATCTTTATACTGTGCGTTCTACTGTATATGTTGACACCAAAATTCCAAGAGTCAGTTTCCATAAAGTCTTTTGTCAGTTTCTCACCAATGAATTGTTAAGTTGACCTTGAAGGTCTCGATGGATGTAAGATAAATTTTAATTCCTTACCTGAAAGGTCCGCAGTGTTGTGATGGTCTGTATCTCACTATAGCAAAGATGGTGGGCAGCATACACAAAAACAGCATGAAAAGCAGCATAGCCAGGTAGAAGTTGTTTGACCTAAAAAAGCAACGTGAGAACATGGATGTGTTGATAGGATTCATTCTTACATTACTGTCTTTCCTTCATGCTCCTGAGCAGTTCAGTAGAAAATTACAATTCATGCAGAAGTATCCCAGAGTATATCTGCAAAATATGCTCTAAACAGTTTGTCATCTTCAAAAGGTAAACATTTTTTTCTTTGTTTTTTCTGTGTATCTGACCACAAATCTGTAACATCAAAGTAACTAGATTAAGTGTTACACTGCTCAATAAATAAATAAACTAAGGAAGATTTTTCATCAAAATGTAGCATCAAGTCACTTGAACTTCTGGGATCTTAATCTGATCAGCTAGGTAGCAGTGGGTGTTATTACAGGAGAGCTGACAGGGCTGTAAAAGGTCCCGACCCATCAGCAGAGCTAGAATCTGTTCCTTTGTGCAACGAGTAACAGGATAAGCACTGTTCCCTTTTTTAACCAATAAAGATCATAGAAAAACAATATTCTGACAAATCTTGAACGAGTGGTGAATCATGAGTGGCTGCTAAGTCCAAATAATACTCAGGCAGTGTTTACTCATGACAAGATCCTTTCTTAAAACACACCAAATAGTTTGTGGTGCTTAAATCTAACTAGCAAGTGAGACTGTCTAAATTTTCTCATGTCTTGACTTTGACTGGCCTCTCTAAAGTCTTCTTTTTTATAGTCATTCAGACGTGGACTTGCTGGTGTATTTCGGATCATTGTCCAACTGCAGAGCTGAAGTGTGCTTCAGCTGGCGGTCAAAAACAGACGGCCAGATATTCTCCTGCAGGAAGTTTTGGTAGACAGCAGAATTCATGTCTCCATTCACCACAGCGAGGTCATGTATGTTTGGATTTGTTCCCCCTTAATAATGAACACCTTCAATCAGAAGCTGCATTTTGTGTTTACTTGTGTTATCTTTGTCTAATATTTAAATTTGTTTGATGATCTGAAAAATTTAAATGTGACAGATACAAAATATAGGAAATCAAGAAGTGGACAAAAACTTTTTCACACCACGGTATTTTCATTTGCACAGTGAACTGTCGATGCTATCAATATGCACATGTATCTTATGTAGGGATGGGCACCGGTATCCGGTGGCACCGGTATCCGGTGGCACCGGATACGGATACCGGTGCTTTTTTTTCCTGAGCTGTGATACACTTTAGATTCTAGCCAATCATTTTACGTTTCCGAGGATAGTGGGCGGGTCCAGGTACGTACGTTCTTTTAGAGCAGAGCTACAGATTAAAAATGCCCAAGGCGAAGC